CTAACCCTAACCCTAACCCTAACCCTAACCCTAACCCTAACCCTAACCCTAACCCTAACCCTAACCCTAACCCTAACCCTAACCCTAACCCTAACTACATTTCCGGCGATACATCTCAAGCGAGGGCTTTATCATCTCCTGGCGCCGCATTTCATATCGTATCTGCATTAAGGTTTTAGATATGCACATACCTCGGTTGCCTTCTTTTTCGCTTCCCTACCTTATACCGTCCTTCCTTTTTTCAAAAATCACGCCGACAAAGGACCTTGATTAATCTTGAGCCATAATTACACATCCTATCTCTTCGCCCGCGGACTAGTAGGATCTGCGCCGAGCTAAAGGCCTCTTCGAAGCAAAAGCTATACCGCAATTCCCGTATTACGATAGTATAAAAACCGAGAGGCGCAAGCAGGGAAGGTTCTTCAATCCTTACTAAGACGGTAATTAGCCCGATCGCTGTTCGAAACATCCGCCGTCTTTGCCCTGCGGATCCCAGCAGATCGCGGCAGTGTTACTAAAATCGCCGTACAATCGTAACAATCTCGACATAGTCGCAGACGAGGCTAGGTATTATCTAGAGATGGAGAACACCGACATGCATACGGAATTCGAGAGCAAGGTCACCTCTTCTAGCGACTTCGAACAGGCTACAATCGGCGCTGAACAAACCCAACCGAACAGTCCAAACAGCCCTGCGATCCCCCTCTCGACTATGCCGTCAGTTGGCCCACAGATATCTCTTAAGGATGTTGAAGTAAAGAAAGACTCCAACACAAGCCCTCTACCGAGAATCAGCAACCGAAAGCGCGATCGTAGCTTCATCTCGCCTGATGTAGCAATGCATCTTGAGGCTCAAAGCCCCTCAACCGCCGCCTATAGCGAACCACACTCAATAAAGCGTCAAGCCAGTCCGTTCGAGCGTGGAGGATGGATCCCTCGATCCTTACTCGGCGATAGCGAAGACTTACAGGAGTGCGGTTCAAATCTGTCCGATGTGCTCATAGCGAATTACGCATTCTACGTATATGATGATTCGGTACAAGATCACGGGACATTCAACATTGGCCAGTGGCGAAACCATCAGAGATGCTTGTCACCTGCATATTCTGATGTGTCCTCAAACGCCAGTACTGTAGTGCTTCCGTTGCCCGGCGAACATAATCTGTCTTGCTAGTCGGTTGCCTGTCGGACGGCTGAAACCGCGAGGGAAAAAGCTCTAACACGCGACGCCTCGCGAAAACGCCCCAGGAGCGAGCCTGACGAGGACGGGGACGCCCAATCCCGCAGGTCCAAACGTCGCAAGATCAAGCATTGGCAGGACCCGCAGGTCCGCACGTCTGAAGCAACTAGTGAGAAGATCCAACCCTGCACACATCTGCGCAAGCAGCCCATAGGAAACTCAGACTCCTAGGTCAACGACCGTCGACTTCGAGGAAGCGTAGGAGTGAATCACTTCGACACCTTAACCTTGCCAGAGAAGGTGACCGCTGCAAGCGGAGTGGGGGCGTCTGGAATCCTGCACGGACATCGCTCAAGGCCCTCGTCGCTTTCTGCATAATCTTTGCAATGACCGCGGTAATCAACAGGCCTGTAGGCAACCACCATTTCATCTATCCACTCTTCCGCACTCGATCGCAAAATCAAAATCGGGGGGAGGACTAAGGTGTTTCTTGATGCACGTTTTTGCGGCGTTGTCTCGACAAGTAATGAAAAGACCATTCCCGTTCGAGTCAGGGAACGCAATAAGTGCGGTGGTGTCCTCAAGACCACACTAGTTGAAGGAAGAAAAGGTGGCTAGTTCGTGCGAGAATGCGTGCACCCCTGCATCGACCTCGCAGGGGTACTTTGATCAGCTAGAAGTGTTCTACACTGCCCTGCACTGCCCCATCAGGACACCGCCATCGCGCGGCCGCCTAAAAGGAGTACACGAAAGAGCATTCCCTCTAACGCTTCCCGAGCACGAGTTCAGCGGATGGTCTATGCGAAACATCCTCAGTCTAATGCTAAATGCAGGATCCTGTACTCGACACCCTTGTATCTTATTCCGCAAGGAAGACGGAAATGATGCGACGGTTGCACTGCTACAATCGTAGCTAGATGCGTACCGATAGTCGCAGCCCTTTAGCTCGAACGTGAGCGGGCCCGCGATCACATAAATGATCGCTACGGTACTCTAGGAATATCTTCACCCCTGTATCTATTATTAGTCACAACGACTACATCGACTACACCTCTGTCCCCCGACCCAAAGACTAGCCTCTTACCGACCCTTTACAACGTCCGAGGAATATCGGGAAGACAAGAACAGTAAGTCGAATGGGGAGCGAGCTCAATGCGAGATGTCGGCGGTCGACCAGACAGTCTTACAAACAGCCGTCGATAAATCTCTAGATAACCAGCCTCATAAATGTCTCAATTGCCGCTATCCTAACACTTGAAAGCCTGGTCATCCAGGTCTGGCCAGCCGATCAGTAACGGCAAAGTTATCGAATCTCGCTATAAGGCGGACGCGCGCGCGTAGAGAAGGTGTGAAGAATCCTGCACCGTTTGAAATAGCCTGACGGCAAGACTGCCAGAATCGACAACCAGCAGCTGTCGTAACCAGACAAATAACTGTCTCAGGACGGTACAACCTTGAAGAACAACCCCTGCATGCTTGCCGAATTCAGCTCTTAAAGTACAGATTCCTACACTCTCCTGGGCCTCGCAGAGAACATTCAAGAATCTGACCCTACCGTATATAGATCAACGTAACAATTCAGATAAGTTCAATTCGCCCTTTATGTTATCGAAGATAGTCTATTATCAACTATCCGATTGTGTTATGCACGTGCTTCGTGTGATCTAGCTATATAGATTCTCAAAGGAAGCCCAAATCAATTTGTTACTACAGCCGAATTGCACCTCAGTCGTCGTCAGATCTCGACCCGCGAATAGTACATACTCAAATAATGTACAGACGCTGCCCACGAGTGCTCTAGCACAACGTAGGCGCGACTTTTGTAAGTTTGCTCGGACACGGATTGAGGCCGTGCTCCACGAAGTCGAGCAGCCTATTCGAGTCTATAAGTATGTACTCTCACAGACGCGAGAGGAAGCGAACTTGGGACGGCGCGCAAAATTGCTGCTCGCAGCGATACCGAGTGATATAGACAGAATTCTCAAGCGCAAGGCCGAAGCTTTTAAGGACAATCCTGGAGCTTTACGTTACAAAGGGCGACAAATCTACACTGTCACTAGCAAGATCTATTAGGCCACTCTTGGAAGACGGCTACAGCAATAATACTCCTCCGTCAGATCGTGTCTGTACGGGTATAGTTATTATAGCGTATTATATTGGGGGAAATCGAAGAACCGGGCGATGATTTTCCAGTGTCAGAGAAGTTGGAGGATGCCTTCATAGTACTCAATGAGAAACCTTGGGACGATAGACTATATGGAGCCTTCCGCTATAAGACTACGACCCCTGAGACATTGGCTGAACGCTATCGCCCAAAATCGATTGCGATCTCCAGAGCAGCACATAAAGCGCTCAAGGATCACGGTGCAGTTCAATGCCGCGACAATGCTACTCTCCGGAGAGAAATGCTATTCGTCGACGAGGCATAGACTCAGGATGCTGAGGTTGGAATCGTATACCGCGGCTACAGTGTATCCGGATCTCCGCAACCTTCACCTAATACATAATCGAAGTTTCGTGAGTCTTGAACAAAGTAGCTTTCCCATTCTGATTCGTCGATACTGATTCGGACTAGCAAAGAGCGGAACTGTGCTGACACTCAACACTAAGGCGCATGTTAGTGCTTTCTCAACCCCTTAGGACGGTTGCCTGATAGGTACTGCTTGAGAGGCCACACCCTGGTAGTGGATGATGCGCGTTTTTGATACTAGTAGAAGGTGCAGCTCGTATGTAGTATGTAGGCATCCGTTTCGAGAATGGTTCGACGCCACATACGTTGCACGATTGTGCGTAGAAATACTTTCAGAGCAATATTTGCTCAATAATTGCTCGGGAACACAGCACTTCACTCGATTCACAAGCAGGTGTAGACTAGAGACTGATCAAGCGCAGAACGAGGCATCAAGCTAGGTCAGCATACATAAATAGGAAAGCAGGACAAGAACCATGTAATCAGCCGACGAGATCCAATTTTACTCAGACGCAGAATCGTAAATAGCAGCATAACGACTTAATAGATCTCTTGACTAACTATAGGATGTGATGCTAGCACAGCGAGCAATTATACGGCACCGGTACTGTCTCATTGCGACATTAGTGTAGAGTGTTGTAAATCAAAATGTGATTTACCGGCTCGTAACACAGGGTGGCTCGCAACGCCGGGAGGGCCATTAGATAATGAGCTGGCTTCAGTGCAACTTGAATGCGAGGTTGCTATTCTCTCGTTGTATCACCTCTTACCTACCGTTGAGTGTGATTAAGACGACGTTGAGTGATTTTGTAATGTAAATGAGATTCTCCACTATAGGAAATCTGAGATGGGACTAAAGATCTTCTTGAGGGCCAGCGATATACTTGTCTATTACGTCTTAAGGAAGCGCTCGTGAAAGGACATCCGTTACATAGTGCTGGATAGACTAATTATATTATGCCTGAGAAGAGCTCACTCGACGTGCAGCACAGAAAGAAACGATAGTTACAGCTTAAACAGGTGCTTAGCGACATGTCGATGAGCCGTACACTACGCGCTACATTGGACGCCGAAAAGGATTAGCCGTTGCCACTTCGGGCAACAGATATCCTAGCAGGCTAAGTTTGATTGTAACTTTCGAGAATCGCGCAAGAAACGCAAGTTTTGATTGAATCGCTCTAGTAATACAAATGAGTAGGGTTTTCTCCCTTTTCGAGATAGTATAAATAAGAATAACTGAATGTTCATTCGGGCAGAGAAACGAGATGTGCTCCGGCCAAAGGAATATGATGTTGTTGAAACATCACTGCCGATGAGACTGCAACCTCATCTACCGGAAAATCCTTGAGTACTAGATGACATTCAACTTTGCGAAGAGGTCGATCAGATGCTCGGCCAAAACCTGCTGCTCACCCTGAGCATTGGTACGAGCTTGGTAAAACTCGCACTGGCCCAGCGAACAAACGTAGTGCAGACCGCGTGGTGTGCGCGTACCCATGCGTCCGGCGATCTGCTGGCGGCTCAGCAAGCCGCAAACGCAGCGGGGGGCATCGTTATTGATCCCACGACAGTCGGTGAACGTGACGAACTTATTGCATATCATGCACTTCAGGTAGGGGCGGCCGGCGTTGCCGTTGCGGTTGCTGCTACGGGTTTTGAAGTACGTCAATCGAGACGTCACGGCGCCGCAAGTCGCGCATCGCGGGCCTGGAACAGCATCGGAGGATGCTACGGCTGGTAGTGCGGATGCGCTGCAAGATGCATGATGGGTATTCATACTGCCTTGACGTCAGAGTTCTGGCTGATGCCGGAGGCTTCTCAACGTCCCCCTGAGAAGCTTGGGGAAGGATGTTGATACCTACGATGCTTGGTCTGGAAGCTTGGTTTGAATGCTTGGTCTGCTGCTTGAATGAAGATGTGATTTGAATACTTGCTGGAATTAATGGTAGTTGCTCGAATCGACAAGAACTCCAGTCTTATATATCCAGAGCTTGGAACGCACACTAGGCAATTGTCAGGGAGGTACATAGCCAAAATGAAAGGAATGATAAGCGACGTATCACGAGATGTGTGAAGAATGCAGTAATGACAAACAGACAGATGCTTTCATTGTCCAGCGGTAAGGAACCTGACCAGCTGCTAAATGCAAAGTCTTGATAGTGAGACTTGCAAGGCAGGAACTTGACTCTGTGCTTGCATTTCATTGTTGTGATTAGCATCATTCCACCGGATCGTATTGTGTGATTGCTCCACATTCCAAGGTCGACGATGAGACTTCATGTTAATGATTTCTGCGAGAATTCCTTCCACATTCCACGCACGCAGCGGAATTGGTAGCGCATTTTGCTGGAATGAATTGGTAAACGGTCCAAATATCGTGACAATTCATTCCCTTAATCAGTCGTAGCATGGCGCTGACTTGCAAACATTTGTCTATTCAAGACGATGGCTACGTATCACCTGATTAACCCCTTCGGTATGCCAGACGCTCATCACTTTGTGCTTGTGGCCGGACTAACAACTTGACCTTCTGGGGATCGTGAGTCGACTTTGCTGGATGTGTCACTCACTCCGTTCACCCTGCAAATAAAGTCCCTCCTTCAGAGGTCTTTAATTCTTGTTCACGCGGAGAGAAATTAGGGTTGATATTCATGCGGGAACACGGAAATCGAGGTCATTCCGCCACAGTCACTGTATTCACGTATACAAACGCGAAGCAAATATCTCTACGCACATCACTATCTCAGAGCTGATTCGTAATGGATCGCACACGTCCAGCTAACCTGGTCGTAGCATCTCGGTTAGCGCGCCGCCTGATTAGGCTGTTTTATAGGAGGAGTACAACACTCAAGCGATGACGGCCGCCCTCTACAAACAGCGGCACTAAGACCGGCTACTATAACGAGACTCTCCAAAGCGCGTTTAGCAGCGAGTACCGTACAAGAAAAGCTACCGTCTTGGGCACAGCTAGAAGACCGAAGCATGTAAGCGTCGCTACGAGATCTAGTTGTAAAATAAACAAGCGGTCCGTTGTCGCACATCGCAAATTCAGTTCTCTGTTAGCTATTAACGACAACTAATAGTTTATCTATCCTTGGGTGATGTTACGATCCCGTGACACGGCACAGCAGAAGACAGAAGGGAACGACGACAGCCAGTCGTTAGAGGACAAGGACATGCGGCCACGAGCGTCAAACCGTCACGTGACTAGTGCCTGAGGCAGAGAGGGTGCTCTGCGATCTGAAGGATCAATGTGCAGAGCAGCAGAGCATCTGCTCTGTAAGATCTGAGGATCCAAACACAGAGCAACAGAGCAGCTACACATTCCCTTTGTATCTAACTTACATATATAGGTAGAACGAATGGACCTTATGTCTGTTCGTGTTGAACTCATGTTACCAACTTACCTATTAGAATACAAAGCCCCTTCTCATATCCCTGTTGCACCACTCATTCTCAAGAAGCCACCTCGAGTAAACCGCCTTTGGCAGTTGACCCGTAACATTATACTCCACCCGGTGAAACAGTATGAGGGACGACAGCCGATATCTCCGCCGTTATCTCCGGGCTTTTATATGCTCCGTTACCAAGACCCAAAATTCTCTTGATTTACGGACAGTATTATCTTCAATACGCTGCTCTGGACCCAAAGACGTCTCGTCGATTTGTGTATAGCCTAGTATTACTTGGAAGTATCGCAATAAATAAATACTGTGCTCCGAGATTTTCTCCCGGCCTACCGCTAACGTCAAACACCAGAGCGCGGTCCACCCCACGGCGTGGTCCACGAATTACGTGTCCATAACAACAACAACTTCAACACGCGATGGCACCATCAAAACGCGTCCAAAAGAGCTCAAACGAAGGGAGTGTACTGCTTGCAATATCAGCTTTCAGATCAGGTGACATAGGATCTGTAAATGCTGCTGCAAAAACCTACGGTGTCTCAAAATCAACGCTGCTTCGGAGATTGAAAGGAAGTCCTGCTCGAGAGGACTATATGCCACAGAATAGCAATCTCACTCCAATCGAGGAGGAGATCCTTCTTAATAGCATACTGAAGCAGGATGCCGAAGGGCTGTCGCCTACG